CAAGACTCATTCCAAATGTAATAAAAAGGGCTCTGTCACCCAGAATCTCTTTTAATGTTTTTGGATGGATTCTCTTGTGCTCTGGTTATTCTTAGATTTTTATAAAGAATAGGAACAAAAGCAAAATTTCAGTCTCCCAGTTCATACTTATCTTAGTAGAAATGTCAACATTTTATGTTCCAATGTCATCTCTTCTCAAATCATATTTCTTTCTTTCTTACTGTCATGTGCTTTTTTCTTTTGCTTTTTAAAAAAGAATTTACAAAAATGCTATCACCCACTGCCCCATGACATCTAGCATATATGTTTTATATTTTGCTATATCAAATGAAGCATTGTACTCCCACTACTGCCTACCTGTGGGTCTAAGTATCCTCCTTTTTAAATTAAGGGAATTAGACGAGTCTTGCAATGCTCAAACTATGTTATATGTCTCAGGCTTGGCACCGCTGATACATTAGACTGAATAATGATTTCTTCTAGGTAGCTGTCTGTGTATTGCAGGATGGTCAGCACCATCCCTGGTTCTACCCACTAGACACCAACAATATGAATGTTCCGACCCACCGCGCCCCAGATACGACAACCAAAAATGCCTTCAGATATCGTCAAATATCTTCTGGGGAGTACAATCACTCTCAGTTGAGAACCGCTGCTCTAATTGAAGCGGTGATTCTTAAACTTTTGTTAGTATCTGCATCCCCTGAGAAACTGGTAAAAACATAAAGGCCCAGACTAGATTCTAGTTCAAAAATCCAGAATCTCCATGATTTTACTAGCTTTTTAACAACACAATAAAGTCTTAGAACCATTGTTCATAAGAAATCAGATAATAAAGTATGGCCAGCACATCATCAAGGAACAAGTTAGAAATGCACATCTGAAAGCTCCACCCCAGGTTTCGTGAATCGGGAATTGTGAGATGGAAGTCAGTTCATTAGGTAAGAAAAAGTACATTCTTGGCATACTCTACAAGAAGTTAAGGAGTATAAGAGACTCGTGGACGACTGTGCGTTCCAACATAGAGTAAATACCACTGGGAGAGCATGACCTGGAATCAGCTTCTTTGCACTGCATGGCTCTTATTACCATAGGGTCATGAACTACTCTTTGTCCTGATCCAGCCTCAAAAAGCAGATCAGGCCGGGCACGGTGGCTCACGCCTGTAATCCCAGCACTTTGGGAGGCTGAGGCGGGCGGATCACGAGGTCAGGAGATCAAGACCATCCTGGCTAACACGGTGAAACCCCCATCTCTACTAAAAACACACAAAAAATTAGCCAGACGAGGTGGCGGGTGTCTGTAGTCCCAGCTACTCTGGAGGCTGAGGTGGGAGAATGGTGTGAACCTGGGAGGCGGAGCTTGCAGTGAGCCGAGATCGCATCACCGCACTCCAGCCTGGGGACAGAGCGAGACTCCGTCTCAAAAAAAAAAAAAAAAGAAGAAAAAAAAGAAAAAAAAAAAAGCAGATCAGATTGGCTCTCTTGGAAGGGAATATCTGGGGGACTACACAAAACCCTACCTATTCCCAAAACCCTACCTATTCCCAAAACCCTACCTA